TTGTCTCCCTCCTGGCAACCTGTTGCCTAGCTTTCACCCTGGGACCCTGGCGTGCCAAGTTTGCCCTTACCCCGCAGGCACACTGTGCGTGGAGGGCACAGTGCAGCAGACGGTGGAAGGGCCACATGAAGGGAGGAGGTGCTGCCCTAACCTGTGGGCTCTCCTCACCTCCTCTTCTGCCACCATCGCGCGCCCAGTGTTCCCATCTGCTCGGCTCACCTGCGTGGTGTCCCACTCAGTTGACCTCAAATCTCAACCCTTAGATGTGTTCTTTTTCCCATCTAAGTTTCTGCCTGCAGTGTCCTTCCTGGCCCATCTCTTCCTGGTATCAAAGGACTGCTTTCTCCTCAGCAACAAACTCTCCTATAGCCTGGATCCTGGACCTCTCCCTTTGGATGCTCTGGATACCTGATCCAGAATGTTACATGGTTCCCTATCTCCTTGGCTGCCTCCTGAGGTGTGGAGAGAATGAGACTCACTCTCCCTACTTGCTGTCCATGTTCAGTTAGTAATTGTCTAATTTGGCCATTTCCACTTCAGTTTACTGCAATCATTCTTTCTCATCACCGCAAGTTCACACCGCCGTTTTCCTTTGCCCAGACTCTACCCCTAATGAGTGTGTTTAAGTGCAACCTGCCATTTCACTTCATGATATGGAAATGAATGCAGGATTTTCTGTGATTCCCAGAAATTATCTAATCTTTCTTTTTTTAAAAAAAAATATTTATTTATTTTGAGAGTGCACAGGTATGGGGTGGTGAGGGGAGAGGGCGAGAGAGAAACCCAAGCAGGCTCTGTGCTGTCAGTGCTGAGCCAGATCTGGGGTTCAAACTCACAAGCCATGAGATCATGACCTGAGCAGAAATTGAGAGTTAGACACTTAACTGAATGAGCCACCCAGGTGCCCCTAATCTAATCTTTCTCATAGCTAATTATGTACATACTCATTATGTTTAGAGAAAATTGAAAACATTTCCTTAGCCCTCCCACTGAAACTCTTCTTGGTCTATATGGAGTCTTCTTCATATGGACAACTAGAATCCCACCCCACCCCCTTGATCACTTTCACTCCTTCCTTTGCCACCTTGTTACTCCAGAATCCAACCTTCGTCTCATGCCTTATTTTGCCTAAAAAAGCCAGACGACAGACAGCCATTAAAACCAAAGCGAACAAAACTTTATGCCCTGGATCCCTACCCTTTTCTGAATGAGGCTCCTACACATACTTCTCCACTGATTGCAGCATTATTATGCTGCCTTTTGAACTCCACACTCATCTATCCTACTTCCTCCTCAACATATATCAGTCAGAGTTCAACCGGGAGAAAGAACCAGTAGGGGATACACATTAGGAGATATATTGCAAAGAATTGGCTTAAGCACGACTGTGGGGTCTGGCTAGAGAAGTCTTACAACCACAGGCAGCCTGCCAGGAAGGGCAGGCTGCAACTCTTCTCCCCACGCTGAAGCTGCAGGACAAAGGAGGAATGTCTTCCTCAGGGAGGCCTCAGCTCTGCTCCTGAGGCCTTTCAACTGATTGAGTCAGGCCCACCCAGAAGATCCAGGATAATCTCCTCGAAGTCAATCAGTTATGGACTTTACCCACATCTACAAAACATCTTCCGAGCAACACTCAGATTAATGTTTGAATGAATTACTGGTAGCTATAGCTTAGCCAAGGTGATACATCAGAAGACCACCATGAACATCTAATAGATGCATCTCAAAATTACCATAAAGTTCATAGGAATACCTCTCTTCTCTCCCCTCAGCACTCTCTGCAAACCGGTTAATTTGCAATGGCAACTGCATCCCTTCAGATGTTGAGGCCAAAAGCATAAAATTGAGCTTCTCACGCTCCAAGTAGTAGGTTAAATATGGGGACCGCAACTAGCTCCATGCCCTAATCTCCAGAACATTTTACAGCAAAAGAGACTTTGCAGATGTATCTAAACTAAGGATTTTAAGATGGGAAGATTATCCTGTGTTACCTGGGTGCCCAGTATAATCACAATGGCCCTTACAAGAGGGACACAGGCAAGGGCAAAGGCAGGGGAGGAGATCCAATAATGGAAGCAGGGTTTGGTATGGTGCACTTTTTAAAAAATTATTTATTTTTTAGTTTACATCCAAGTTAGTTAGAATATAGTGCAACAATGATTTCAGGAGTAGATTCCTTAATGCCCCTTACCCATTTAGCCCATCCCCCTTCCCACACCCCCTCCAGCAACCCTCTATTTGTTCTCCATATTTAAGAGTCTCTTATGTTTTGTCCCCCTCTCTGTTTTTATATTATTTTTGCTTCCTTTCCCTTATGTTCATTTGTTTTGTATATTAAAGTCCTCATATGAGTGAAGTCATATAATATTTGTCTTTCTCTGACTGACTAATTTTGCTTAGCATAATACCCTCCAGTTCCATCCACATAGTTGCAAATGGCAAGATTTCATTCTTTTTGATTGTCGAGTAACACTCCATTGTATAAATATACCACGTCTTCTTTATCCATTTATCCATCGATGGACATTTGGGCTCTTTCCATACTTTGGCTATTGTTGATAGTGCTGCTATAAACATTAGGGTGCATGTCCCCCTACAAAACAGCACACCTGTGTCCCTTGGATAAATACCTAGTAGTGCAATTGCCGGGCCATAGGGTAGTTCTATTTTTAAGTTTTTGAGGGACTTCCACACTGTTTTCCAGAGTGTCTGCACCAGTTTGCATTTGATGTGGTGCACTTTAAAGATGGAGAAAGGGGCCACAAGCCAAGGAATATAGACAGCTTTTAGAAGCTGAAAAAAGCAAGGAACGAATTTTCCCCTCAGCCTCCAGACTGATGCAGTCTTGCCAACACCTTGAGTTCAGCCCGCTGAAACTGATGTCTGACTCCTGACCTCCAGAATTGTAAAATAGTAAGTATATGTTGTTTGAAGCCACTAGGTTTGTGGTGCAATAGAGAACTAGTCAATCCATTTCCAATCTCAGGTGACATCTTGTTGGCTTTATCTTCAATATGTCCAGAATGGAGCCACTTCTCACCACCTCCTCCGCTACCACCTCGCCTTCATCATCTCCACGCTAGAAGATTTCAGTCGTGTGGTATTGTTCTCACCCACTGTTTTCCATTCCCTTGTCCCTACCCACCACCCCAAGTCAGCCACTACTAGTTCATATGGAGGCTTCATGAGAAAGAGAAAAAAAGTGTCCTTCCTTCAGGCATAAACAACCCCAAGGCAGGGTACATAGTGTGGCGGGTAGAACCGAGACTGCGTATCCTCATACAGAATACAAGCTTAGCAACTGTACACAGCAGCCCTCCTACAGCCCTCTCCAACTGCAGGCTGAGAAGCCCCGTTAACAGGCGAGTCAGACCCTGTCACTGTTCTGTTCAGACCCTCACAAGTCTCTCCATTTCACTCAGTCCTTACAAGGGGACTGCAAACCTTCCACATCATCTGGCCAGTTACCTCTCAGGTTCTGTCTCCTGCTATGCACCCTCTCACTCACTGTTCCAGCAAAACCAGCCTTCTTGCTGTCCCTCAAATGCCCCAGACACATTTGCCCTTCAGGGTTGCTGGTCCTTTAGGCTGCAAAGATTTGTCTGCAATAGCCAAATGACTGGTTTCCTCACCTCCTTCAAATATTTCATCAAATGTCCCTTTCTTAGTGACACCTACCTTGACTGTCCTATTAAAATTTGTAGCCCACGCCTCTATCCCTATACTCCCTAACCCATTTAACCTGGCTTGTTTTTCTCTCTAGCACATACTACCTTCTAACATTCTATGTATGATTACTTAATTATTGTATTTACAATAATCCCTGAGAGTGGAGGGATTTTCACCTCATTTGTTCATTCCTGTACCCTCAAATAATACCTTGTGTCTAGTGGGTGCACAAAAATATTTGAATGAATAAATAGAGAGTCCTCTCTGTTCCAGTTTGGGCTCTTCGAGAAGTAGACTCTAAGGCAGCAATCCAGGTACAAGGAGTTTATTTGGAAGGTGAGCCCAGTAAACACTGCTAGGGGTATGGGCAAGTAGGACAGGGAAGGGAAGGCAGCAATGAAAGGTAATGTTATCAAACCCTCCAGTTAAACTGTGGGTAAATGGAGGACACCCTAGAAACCAGTGGAGAATATATACTTCTGAAGGGGAGAAGACTTTTCCTATTACCCTCTCGTATTCTGTGGCTGGGCCTGAGATTTAAACTGACAGAAGACAGAGTAACAGGAGAAAAGCACACAAATTTAATTTGAGGTTAATATCTTTACATGGCATGAGACCCCTCGCAGAAAAGAAATGGAGATGCACAGAAATAGATGGCTCTGAGAGCTTGTGTACCAGTTTAACAAAGACTGATAGCTTGTAGAGATGTGACAAGACAAAGGACAAAGGGGTTTGGGCCCCTAGGGTAGGTAAACTGTGGGAAAGTGACTGGGAAATACAAGAGGAAACTAATGAAAGATGAAGGTCATTTTCATAAGTTTGTTTGTACAGATTTGTCTTGGCATCAACTTCCCATCTCCAGTCATAAGAATGTTCTCCCCTTCTGGTACAAGAGGGCACCTCCTTCACAGTACATTTATGGAAAGAGGAAGTCAGAGAGCACTTCCTGCATCTGCTCTTTCTCAATTGTCTTCAGCTCAAAATAATACATCACAGCGGCGCATTTGGGAGGTGGCACATTCAGTTCAGATTTATTCCACTCAGGAGGCAGGAACCTGGGGTCTTTATCCATCAATTCCAGGATGGGCATTAATTACCTGGTACTTCCCTTCTGCCACGCACACAGGGCAGAGCTGAGTCCATCATCTGGGGTCTGCACTCAAAGAGATTATTGTCTGTGGCAGAAGTCAGGCCTATCTGCATGGACATAGTAAGGACTGAAGGCACAAGAATGGAGTCTCAATGGCATCTGCAAAGTTTCTCCATCAGGAATGAGAAGATGAACCCCTACCTGCCAAATCAGTAAAGCCACAAACATGACAACTTGATGATCTGATTATAACGTTGTGTTTAATTTGTGTTACATGACCCTTCTTATCTGTCATATGAGGGGAGGGAGCATGATAGGTAAAGGCATCTGGTGGCTGTCCTGTGGGGCTCAAACAGAGAAGGACTTTCTTTGTAGGAACTGAAAGAGAAGGCTGGGTCAGAGTCCAGTAGAAACGTTTACTGGGAACACTGTGAGTCGGTGTTCTGGTTGTTTGCAGTCAGCATTCTGATTTGTCAGTGTCCCTGCTATATGTGCTGTATAATATTTTGAATATCAACCCTTCGGAGAGGCTCACTCATTAAGCCAGATCCAGAATCTCCAAGGGCTGCCAACATAATGAGAAAGTCGTGGAGCAGACACAGGGATCTGGAATGCAATAAGGGGCATCAAAGAAGAAAGAGTTATGAATGGGTTGAGGGGATGAGTGGGTGGGCGGTCTGACTAACTGCCCAAGACGAGGATTGTTCTCTTTGGATGCTTTTGTTTATTTCTGCAGCATCATGTGTTGTTAGATCAGGTGGTTTCAGGGGTCTGGCAAAGGGTACATAAGTAAGACATCTTATAGACGGGACTTCCTATCATGAGGTCTTTTTGATATTTCAATCCACTAGAGTTAATACATCCAGAATCTACAAAGGGAAAACTTCCCTAGTGGCTGTCATGCTGCAGACCCCTCCCATGACAGGTCAGCAATGACTTGTAGGTGTTTTTGTTCATCCCGCCAAGAAGCATCCTTTGCCGCATAAAGACATGCCAAATTTTACCAGAACGTCTTCAAGCTGGATGTTAATTTTCCTCTATGCCTGTCTTCAAAAAATTTTTTATGTGCCTGGCTGAAAGCATGGACTCATTGGGATGACTGATAATGATGACAGTGAATGCTGTACTAATGGAATAGAGAGAGAAGAAATGAAAAAGAAACAAGTGAGTAATGACAAACAGATCATTCGAGTCTCACAATGAGGCCTCTGCTACGATGGTAGGAGTTGGTTAGGAAGCCCAAGGCGGAAATAATGAAGTCCAGGATAAGGACCTGTCACAGGCATTCCTTCCTGCTCCAGATAAGTTGAAACAGCTTCCAATGGTAGAAAACATCACTGTGAGTTCTCATCAAAGTAGAGAAACCACCGTCTCGGGATTAGCGTTCCAAAGGTAGCCTGGCCAGTGTAGCTTCACAACCGGGACCGTGTCTAAAACGGAAAGATGACTTTAGCAGCTGTTCTCAGAAAATGGTTTCAACACTATGCGGTTATAATACAGAAAAGCTAGAGCTTAAAAAGTGAATATATATTCTTTTTAGAATAAAAGGAAATGACTACAAGCCTGGTAATAAATGTGGCAGCTTACTAGAAAGGCAGGTTTAAAGAAGAAGGAAACTCACGTTGGAGCTTAAATTGAAAACAGGTGCCGGGCCTGCTTCATGGAGTCATCGAATGTCAGAAGTGGAGGAGACCCAGGGGTAACGCGTCCAATTCCCACATTTGATGTATCAGGAAACCCAGGTCACAAAAAATGAAGTGACTTGCTCAATGCCACACACGGTGTCAGATTTATCTCCCAGTTCAAATGTTAGTCTTCTTTTTCCCAGACATTTTAATGTCTCTGGCACAAAATTCAAAACAAAACCCCTGCTTCTTTTTACAAGATCTACTTTGAGTTTGAATTCTAAATAGTCACACCTATCTGACTGTTTTCTCTACTACCACATCCTCTTAAACTTTATGCTTTACTATATTTTCATCGGAGCTATCATACTTTTCCAGTATCTTAGGTGGTTCAAAACCATGGCTATTTTTATTTTCATCCGTTTGACTCTTTCCTTTCTTCCTATAGGCAAAGCCCCAGGATACATCTACCTGTACCCCACTGTGTCAGTGGTCTCTTATCTGTAGTTTTGATTTTCTGTATCTCTTTCTATTATCAGTCTGAAACAGTAGGATGATCATCATGTCATTTTTTTTGTTTCCATAAATCTTTAGTATTCTTTTCATACCCAGAAGAGCAAGGAGACTCGCTAATGCTCTCCTCAACTAACAATCTCTATCATCTATCATATCCTACCTTATCCAATTAATAGCTGTCATTAATTATCAGTGTGAGCCTCCAGCACCTCCCACCTGCTGACTATTTCAGAAATAAACTATACACGAGTCCTTCCCACATAAACATACCCATACAATGCATGACCTCCCTCAACACAATGGTTTTCTACTTCCCTCTATCCATCCAAACCCCACCTATTCTTCAAAGCCCAGCAAAAACAAACAAACAAACAAACAAAAAAAAAAAAAAAGAAAGACAAATCTTTATAGTTATTCTGGCTCCTGTGTATTTTCCATTCTTCTGAATCCCTGAATATATATTATATTGTTTTGCTAGTTTCAACTGTTCTTTATGGATATCTCATAAAACACCATCCCACACTTCCACAGCTTATAGTCTAACTGAAGCTTTTTCTCCGTGTCCTTTTGTTTTCGGTCTTTTTAGGTAGGCTTCATGTCCAGCACAGAGCTCAACACAGGGCTTGAACTGACTCTCCTGAGATCAAGACCTGAGCTGAGATCAAGAGTCGGATGCTTAACCTACTGAGCCACCCAGGTGCCCCTTCTGTGTCCTCTTCAATAGCTACTCTACATAAGTCTCAACAAAAACCTACAAATGAATGAATGAATGAATGAATGATGCAGCATAATGCCTAAGATTCTTTATTGTTTTTGTCTTGGGAAATCTTTGTTGTCTGCACATGAAGCAGAAGGGAGGGTGACAGAATCTCTAAAAAATATGCTGTTGAGCTGATGACAATTTGTTCATTTAGTCAGTCAGCCAGACAATCAATCAGTTGGTCATTCAATCAACAAATATTTGAATATCTTCTATGTGCCAGGCATGTTCTGAGAACAGTAAAGATCCCCCTCCCTTGCTGCCTCTCTTTCTTGGAGACAGTCACTTCTTTCCCTGGACCATGGTTCATAAGGTGATCGTTTTTCACTGATGCAACTTGAAAGGTGGAAACAAACTCTATTTCCATTCCCTGGCTCAGGCTTGGCTTTTTCCCTTTAGCACCCTGGCTCCCTAAGAAGTAAAGTCAAACTGTTTGATTCCCACTGGACCCATTTTACTTCAATTCCAATGGACTGCCCTGGGACTGGGCTAACGTGGAGGCCTGGTGTCTCTGCACTGGCCCTAGGGAATATCTGATGGATTTTTCAGTTGATCATGGATATACTTCCTCAGCTTCCTTAATCTGGGTCACCAAACTCCATCAACACATTTAGTGTGGTTATTTCCCCAGTTCAGATTCTGTCTTCATTTCCTTCCTAATTTTACCAGGAAATCTTTACCCTTAAGGCTTAGTTCTAATAGAGTTCTAGTCTCAGTGAAGCAGAGATTAAATAAGCAGAGGTAATAATAACAGCAGTAACAGTGAGTAGCATCAATTCAGCAACGACTACATGTTAGACACTGTGGTGATGCATGAGTAGTAGTACTAGCAGCAGCAGGAGGAGTAGGAGGAGTAGTATTTCATTTAATCCTTTCAACTCCTGAAGTAAACATGATTCTTATCTCCCTTTTGCAGATGAGGAACTGTAAATTTTCATGGAGTCACAATAACTGTTTATTATATCAGATTTATTTTATTTTGTTATTTATTTTATTTATTTTTTTAGAAAAGGAGAGAGAGCACAAGTGGGGGAGAAGGGCAGAAGGAGAGAGAAAGAGAGAGAGAATCTTAAGCATGCTCCACACTGTCAGCATGGAGCCTGATGTGGGGCTTGATCTCATGACCATCAAATCACCACCTGAGCCAAAATCAAGAGTCAGATGCTTAACCGACTGAATCATCCAGGCACCCCTCCGTTTTTTTTAAATGCCAGCTAGTAGTGTCTAACAACTCAAACCTCCAAATGCTAAATTTAATGGTCCTTTCCAATCTGCCACTTTCCACCAAATAATTTTCCCATTCACATGTGTAATTTTATATTAAAAACAGATGCCATCCTTCAGGTACCTGGGTGGCTTAGTCAGTTAAGCATCTGACTTTTGATTTGGGCTCATGTCATGATCTCAAGGTTGGAGGGATCGAAACCTGAGTCAGTCTCCATGCTATCAGCTTGGGATTCTCCCTCTTGCCCTCTCTCTGCCCCATGCTCACACACACAAACACACACACACACACACACACACTCTATCTCTCTCTCTCTCTCTCTCTGTCCCTCAAAATAAATAAATAAACATGTAAAAAACCCCAGATATTATCCTTGTTTCTGGGAAGTCTCATTATTGTCTTCTTTATAAATTTAATAGGCTTAAGTTCATGCTCTTACAATGTAAAATATCAACTTTCAGTATACTTAGGATCAGGAACATTTAGTATGTGCTAAATTTTGAAATTTAATGAGCAAAGTAGAATATAAAAATCCTTTTTCTAACATTAACATTTCATTAAATCAATGTTACTGAAACTATTTATCCAGGCTATTGTACTATAAGAATGTCAATTACCCATAAAGCCTATAAAAATGAATTTCAGGGACAGAGTACTGTAAAGTAGACACCCCTCACCACACCACACCTTGGGTCACCCCACTGGAGTCTTCAGAGACTCAAACGGGCCAGTGTAATATGGATGAAGTTTTGAGTGAGAAGAGAAAAGAGACTACACGTTTAAAATTAAAATGGAAATCAGATTTCCATCTGTTATCTGATTTTGGTCACTTTTCCTGTTTTCTGCCTGTCCCAAATGTGAAGCTAGTGTGGCAAACAAGAGCCTAAAGGTGACTTCTGCGTGTGAGCTGCACTTCTGAATGTCAAGTAGGGGCTAGAGGAGAGTTCCAAATGGAAAAGAATTGTAAGCAAGTTGCTTGAGCTTTTCCCAACTTAGAATTTGTGCTAAGGGATCAAGGAGCCCAAACGTACTTTTCCCCAGACTGTCGCACTAAGAGATGATGCATCTGGCATCCTTTCTAAGACTGAATGAATGGATGAATGAATGAACACCAGTAATGAAGTGTGCTTTTGCCTGGACTATCTTCATGCATAAATCATTAAGAAATTCAACATACAGATAAGTAATAGCTCAAAGATGTGATAATTGGGGTCCTGGCCTTCTCTTTCCATCTTCCAGGACAGACACTGAAGGCAGTGGAGAAATTACATTGTTAGAAATGACTGATGAATGCTGATACTTTGCATACTTTTTTTCTGGGCATTGAAAGGAGGTGATGATGTTGCTGTGATTTTCCCTGATGCTGAGAGGTGGCACATTCAATTTGCTGTAATATTATTCCTTTGGTGAACTTCCTTTTAGATTATGGTTCAGAAATTAATTAAAACCACATACTCTCATTAATGAATTCTAAACATTTTATAACTGGTGCCACTGTCCTCCTCAATCTCTTTTATTTAGAGTCGCTGAACAAGGTTATGTTCTTCTTTCTCTTGCCTTTTTCACACTTACGCTGAAAGCTTAACCAACTCCATTCAGAACTAAAGAAAGGAACAATGTGGTTTTGTACTTCATAAGAGCAATGGCTCTATTTATAAGGAACAGCTTTCTACGGACTCTTAGGAGAAACATCCATCTCCAGCCCCCATCTCTTCTTGTGCTCGCTTTCAGAAGGTTCATCTCTACGTGTTTATTGCCCCATCACCAGGAAGAGAAGGGAGGGCTTTGGTCCTAGTTTAAAAAAAAAAAAAAGTGTCCTTGTTTTTAGTGAAAGAAGTAAGTAGGAACTAAGTAGTGGTAAAATAATGTATTCCGGCACATTGCCCAGCCCTTTCTCCATGCTTTTCATAAAAGGAACCACGTTAAGGATAAAAGGAAAGTTCTGGTCCGAGATCCTCCGAGTTCTGGGTTACAAAGAGTCACAAAGGTGGTGATTTAATGCTGGTTTTCCACCCACACAGAGCACAGCCTCTGGGTTCCATCACAGTGTTAGTGCAAAGCTAATGCCTAGCTCAGAAGGGCCCCGCTTAAGTTTTGTAATTTTGTGTCAATTGAATGAGTTATTTAACTTCTTAGTTTACCACTCACAGCCAATCTTGAAATGGCCTTAGTCCTCACTGGGTGTGCGCTGCAGGAAACGGAAGCAGTTTGGCAGACTGTCCTCCAGGAAGACCCTCCATTCCAGACAGACTCAGGGAAAAAAGTTGAGTTATGTTGTCGTCAGTCACTAGATTAACATGTCTG